TTCCCTGGTAGTGTAGGCAATCAAAATGTAGGATTTGCATTTGTTCATTAGTTTGGGGATCCTTATTAACTAACACTGTGTGATTCTGGCACCAGATGTTGTTTTTTGTTCACGCCAGTGCACTTATGAAGAAGGCTTAGGAAGGCTGACAAGACAAAAATAAACGATAAGCTCACTTTGGTTTAAGATGCCATAAGTAAAGCTATCAGCAGCTCTCTTTGGACATGGTCACATTTTCTTATCCCTGAATTTTAATTTCCTACAAGCACCAAGGTACTGTGTTGCTGTTAACATTTAGACATTAAACATACACAACCTTTTGTGGGAATACCAATAACTAATCAATTTAAACAAAACTTTACTATAATTATGGCTTCCTCCTAGAACTTAAAGAAACGTCGGGCTTCCTTACACTTCTGACAACAGAGATATGTTGTCCCTACTCACAAATTTGTAGCAAAAAGCAAGTGACATCTTATAGCAGCTATCATGCCCTTAACAACATTAATCCCTTTAAAGTGGGCCCTCATCTTGTTGCTTACTTGCTTGGGGAATATTGCCTGGAAAGCTTACAATAAGGAAATAAACTTAATAATGTAAGGGTTTATTAGCCTTCCATACAAAATGGCTCTTTTTGCCACAGTACTAACTATTGACACCAACTACCAAATATGAAGTAAGGCAGAATTCTAAAAAAAATATATATATCCATTTAGGAACTTTGAGAGATATTCGTTAAGATAGCTTTGACACACCAAATTTAAGGCAGTCTTTGATCGTATACCTCTGACTGTTGTAGCAGCATGGTAATTATAGGCTTTGAAGCGTTGTCTCCGCAATAACGGATCAAAAAATAAGCCTGATAACCCAGGTAATTTTGTTACATATGACTGAGAAAACGATTCAAAAAAGCGCTGTGAAGAGAAAGGTCACAATTTCCACATCATTTTGCAAGGGGCCGTGAATGGTGTTAAGGTCTGTCCATGCAATGACCTTGATATCTTTGAAAACGTTAATTGCTGAAATCAGTCGATTGTCTCTTGATGTACACTAGTTTTGTCATCTATCATCAAGTTTATGAACTACTCATTTTCAATAGCCTCTTTCACAACATCTTTGAATAACTCAGTTCTTTTATTGAGTTGAAAATTTCTTGTTTAGCGGATTGAGGTGTTCCTAACATTTAGTAGATGTCAATACCTAAAAAAAGTGGGGTTATTCTTCTATAGACTGCCACATCATTGCAACAAACTGCGACATAATTGGTATAAGAGTGCCAAAGTGCATATTTTTCATGCTTTCCTCTCTTCTTAATGGGAGAGATGAAATTGCTGAGAACATATCAAAGTTATTGCTCACAAAGTGGGACATTTGATATTGGTGACTCTTACATGACGGTAGCACTTGAGTGCATATTCAGTGAAATAAAAACCTCGACCATGGAAGTGCAACGGAATAGTAACATGGAGATAAATTCCTCCATAAAAATTTAATGTACTTATTCACATAATTAGCTGATTAAATTGTGGTGCCAAAAAGCATCTTCAATTGCTATAATACAATGTATGTAATTAAGCTAAAAATACAGACTGTAGTCCTGCACAGCCCATTCCCCTACTTTATCAATAGTATCCTGCCTCTTTAGTTCCTTGATAAGGATCTGGAGTAAATGTCAGAAATCCCCAACAATAGGTGTAGGGTGTCAATGATTACATGATCAATGGGAATAGAATAAAACAGTGAGCTTGACTTTCAGTCATATTGCTGTGATCTTGAATTCTTAGTAATTTCCTTGCGTGTCCGTACCCCATGATTCTTTTCGGTTAGAGACAGGTTTTTGTTACATCATGCCTTTCATTCCTTGGACACTTGCACCATATACAAGCATAGTCCTGATTTGCAGCTCCCAGGCCACAGATGCAAGCCAAGAATTTCCAATCACCCCTAGGAAGAACTTAATCTTGTATTTTCCTTTGTGTTTTTGTTTAATTTCCTTTTATCTGCCAGACTCTCTTTTAGATTGTCACTGTTGTTTTGATAATTGCAAGCACATAGTTCCTTTTCTCACTCAAAAGTCTCCTAAGTGTTTTTCCAATGTTAGTTCCATCTCTACTAAATTTAATCCTAATAGTCTCCTCTCCTTCTAGGGATCCATTGCTTTTGAATCTCAATTTGCACTTTAAGGCTTTCCTTCAGGGAAGTCTGATTCTTTCTGATTCACGGGTTTCTTGTGGTGAATATTCATGAGCGCCAAGCCAGACAATCTTTCTGTCGTCATGGTGGTCCGCAGGTAGCCTTAAAGCAGCTTTAAGGTACTGTTGGCAGGCTCGTTGTCAGCTGAAGTCACTGGAATAGTGCATGCAATGCGCAGCAAACAGTTGATGTTGGGGAAAATGTCTGCATCACAGGTCTAAGATAACAAAAAAGAAATAGTTCAGTTTAATTTGAAAGGCGAACATTAAAAAGCAAAAACATTAAGTTCTGTACCTCTAATGCAGGTTGAAGAGCGTCTGGTTGGCTTCTCTCTGACTCCCACTTTCTCGTCCATCGATGGTACTCGGCATCCAGAGTTTGAGGGTTTGGCAGTTCTGAGCTGTACATCTCTGAAACCACATCAATGTTTGCATCTGTGCGTGACATGGTGATGCTTGGAACTAGACCAAGTAACTGCTCAGCAGTCTTCTGAGTATTACCAAATCTAGAACAATTCAAAATATAACCACTGATCAGAATTCGCGTATTTGTACTCTGTTGTACTTTGTGTAGTGTGACTGTTATAACTGGAGAAGAGTAAGGGAACAGCTATGTAATCTGATCACTTTAAAGGGGAACCCGTCCTGAAGGTCGTCTTATTTTGCAAACAACATATCTAAAATGTTCTGAAGACCTGATTAAAACATATTACCTTGAAGACATCTCTTGTGTAATATGGTCAAGAAAAGGAACAAACAGATTGCGATGGTATTATTCCTCAGGAGTGTCATGGGGTGCATTTGCCCGGTGCTGCTGTCTTGAGACTGTTCTGAACTGAGCTCGACAGCATTAGAGTACCATCTTTTGAACACAGCTTCAGCCTCGTCTCTCTTTTCGTTCAACTCTTTCTTGGTCTCTGACATCATACAGTATGCCTTCACGATGTCATTGGACTTCTTTTGCAGTTTAATGCTAATCTGCTTAATGACTGCCAAAGTTTTCATGGTGACTATTAACGCGATGAGAAACTGGAAAGAACAACATGTGTGGTAGAAGCTATTTGCCCTCTGGAGAGTCTCTCTGTCCCAGTTCCAAGGGGTTTCGGTACTGTATTGTTTGTGCTGCTATTCATCCAAAATAACCTCAAAGGTTTTAACAATCGATGGAAGTAACAGCGTGAACGTTTCGTATGCCTCGTGACGTTCAACCCAACGAGTACGGCAGAGGTCGCGGATCTTAGTTCTCTGCGAATCCGGCTGATCAACGCTGATTACTTTCTCCATCGTAGCCTTGGCCTCGGCAGTTTGAAATGTCCAGACCCCACTGGTCAAACTTCTCCAAGATCAAGGAAAAAAATTACTTGACCAGTAATTCGATCGGTGCATCGAAAGTCTACAAACTCTTCGCAGATCATGCACTCTTTGTCGACAAACCGTAAAACCAAAGACAACTGTTCAAGATTAGCATTGTCAGTGACTTTATTGCAAAGAATTGAGAAGTACTTTGCTTCTTTGATTTCTTGAATTATCGAATCCCTTATGTGGTCTCCGATCAGCATTATGAGTTGATTCTGTATTGTTTTACTAGAATATCGTGCATTCGCGCTGCGGGTTGCTAGGTGGTTCTTTAAAACTTCATTGCCTGAGTCAACACGTAATTCCAGCAAAGCTTGAAAGTTGCCCCTGTTTCCATTTTGATCGGCAGTGCTGTCATCTCTATGGCCTCTCAATGCAATGCACTGTTTGCCGCAAAAATGGACGCACTTTGCAACACTTTTCACAATTTCTCTGTTTCTCTTAATCGTGCGCCCGCATTTGCTTTCAATTTGAACTTGGATGTTTTTTTTGTTAGGGGAAAAAGAAAATTCGGAGAGTTGGCAATTCTGCAAAATATCTCGAGCTTGATTTACGGATATTGTTTCACAACCACCAGCGTCAACAATTTTAATGTCAGGTAAGGATTTTACTACAGACACTAAGGAAATTCCGCCTACTTGAAAACAATTAGGCATTCTTAATATTTCTAGTGTATTTTTTTTGTAAAGGGAAGTTACTAGACTTTCTAATGTAATATTTTGGCAACTTGTTATATCAAGTTCCCTTAAACTGGGCATATGTCTCACAAAGTGTAAAGAAGAAATCGACGTATTGTATCCAAGATCCAAAGATAGTAAGTTGTAACAGTTCATTAATTTTTGTTCAATAAAAAAAGCGTCGGTAATAAAAGTTAGAGGTCTTTGCAAATGTCTAAAGCCTAGATGCCGTAAATCCCTATCGTGTCTAAATTACTAATTAAACGAATGAAGAGTGAATTCAGTGTTTGAATAAACAGTTCTCCAAAGACTAGAATCATGCATGACATTATAAAGATATCTGCAGACTGGTGCAAGGTTTGTCATGCGTTCTTCCAATGAGAGCCACTTTGATATTTCCAAAAGGACTTCGCGAGGAAGACTCATCATGGTAGCACCTGAGAAAATATTGGAAAATGCCCAACTCAGACATAATGGACCTTGTTTACGTTGTTCATTTTATTCATTCCGCTGGCAAAGAAACGTGTCGGAAATAACTTTAATTAGAGGTCTCCAACAAAGCCGCATCAAACTGATAATGATCGTGACTCGACTTATCCCGCATGTTTACAAATTTTCATGGTTAGTCTGGATTGTCACGTAGAGAACAGAATGCTGCTTTAAAAAGCATGAGTGAAGTTAAGTAACACTGCTGTGCACCTAACATTGGGTCCGAGCTTTGATAATGGCAATGACGTTTTCCATTTTTATGTAATATATAAGCTTAAGCTTTCTGATTTATGTCACTAATTTAAAAAATGAAATACCTTGCTTTGAAGAAGATAGAGTTGTCTCATTTTGTCGAGCGACGGTCACTGGCAAATCGTCACTGCCTGTACCTGTTTGGGTCACTTTTTCGGTCTCTGTAAACACAAAATAAAAAAAGTGTTGACAAGTGCCAAATTGATAGCTTGTAGTATTTTTTGTTATGGAAAATGTTCTTACCGGCATCGCTAGAGCAACGAATCCTCTTTGCACTACTCGAGCTCTCATTCAAACTGCTAGAAGAATTAGATGATTGGTCAAAAGACTCATTATCTTTGCTGGTCTCCGATCTAGGGAAGAAAATTTAGAATGTAAACTTATGATATTTCAGTTTTAAATCGATTCATGAAACAACTCTTGAGAAATCAGCACTGTCTGCTTGCTATAATTAAGCGTACTCGTGTAATAGACTAATCTATTAATGCTTACCTTGCTGATGACGGTCCGAAAAACTGGTGAATTTGTGGTTGCTTTGTCCTCTTCGACATATTAAGTCATGAGTTGACGTTGAGGAACATTTAAGTAAATTTTCTCTTTAAAATACTCCCGGCGCAATCTTTAACTCACTGAGAGAACGATCCACAACTCTGATTTCCAAAGAACGGCATGGCTTTATGCAATGCCGGAATTGGAATGATTGGCAGATTTGGCATAAACTGTCAGTTTTGGCGGGACGTGTAAGCGTTAATAAGCAGTAATTTTATAGCTCAAGCGGACGTACTAGGGGCCATTTTCAACTAGGCACAGATTTGTCTTGTTTTTATTGCTGTTTTCGCGTACAAAGACACAAAGAAATATCATTTTCAAAAGATATATTTATTAGGTGAGTTGGTTCACTTTTTTTTTAAACCATGCGTTTGTTATACGTTTTTATGTTCAGTTGAGGGGGTTTGACGGAACCACCCGAACCACCCCTAGATCTGCCCCAGCAATAGTGGGGAAAATAAATGACAAAAATGTCTAAAAGGGTCAGAGGTCAGACAGAGCTAAAACATTTTGCATCCATGTTTTTTCTTAGCACTGAACGTGAGAAAGTTCTACCAACCCCATTCGTGGATCATAAAATTTGCATTCAAATCCTGATGGAAAATCCCTGTCCCATATTGATATAAAAACTACTTGTAGGGTACAAAAACATGCAAAGCTAATTACTGGTACATTGAGTTTGACTGTATTGGATAATTCAT